CTGCATAACTTTCTTTACTTTATGAACTTACTTTTTGCAATTACTAAGCAAATTTATTTCCCTTTTTTCATTGTAGATTCAGTTGCAGTTCAAGCTGATATTCTCATTTGCCTTGTGTACAGTGGCATTTATCGGACATGGATTTTAACATATAAACAACTAGCAATTTATCATTTTATTGATTGCATGTCATAACACTACTTTTTTCTATTACCTGATGGAGTTTTGTTATCATTAATAATTCTGTTCATTTTGTAGTGATTTTTAAAGTACCATTTCAAGAAAGTCAAAGCATTAATGTTTAGCAATGAATATTGTTATTGCACTAATGAATATACTTACATTAACCATGAATATCATTAATCGTTTTATGAATATAGTTTAATCTGACGTCATCCTACATGCTAATGCGGAAGTCACATGACTTCTGTGAGTATATTCATGGCTTTTGGCAGTAAAAGGGGTGGGTATGCCATGTCACTGAAATAAAGATGGCCGTCTGTCCTGTTTGATTCTCTGTAAGCTCCTCCTCCTTCAGCTGTACGCGCATAAGGGAAAGCCTCTATCTCGGCATAGATCTCGGCCCCTGGTTCTCTAAAGTACAAGCTAAAGCCACAAGTTGAGCAACAATGCTTTATACTGACATGGTAGCTATCTTATTGACTTTGATTGTAGATCTAAATGCAAAAGCAGCAGAGAATACTTTTTCCTCAGCAAAGAAGTTTCCAGAACCATAAGTTTTGTGATCAAATGCACACTTTATTCCTTTTTAGAAAGGAATACACCTGTGAGTTAAGCAACAAACCTTTGATATAAGGGACAAAGTCATTGTGGAGAGGTCTGACTTTTGAAGACGGTGGTGATTCACTATTTTACTATTCTGACTTGCAACAATATCTTGTTTCAATTAAATCTTTACTATCACTAGTTTTGCCAGATTAATCATTAAAATTATAACATTAATACTGTTTTATCTGTATAATCATATTACTTTTAAAAATGAGAATCATAAAAAATTGATCATTAAAAGAAACAACATAAAACAATCAGTAAATAAAAACAAAAAAATGTAGAGCTGTTAACTTTGTACTAGTATTAGTACTCTCAGCCGAGTTTTTACAGACCTATTAAGGTACACATACATAACTTCAAGTTTAATAAACATTAATCTACATATAGACACTCTAAAAAAGGTAATGTGATGCTTTTAAGGCAAATATGCTCACAAGGCAAAACTCAACATTTGCAATGGTGCATGCCACATTTTGTTAATAAATAAGCATCCATAAAGTACAAAATGCACTGTTTTATACAAATAATACCAACTGCACTACAAAAAAATGATTACAAAATATCATAATATAGAATTAAAATCTCATAGAATAATGTTCTTAAAAAGCAGTTTTGACACATGGAATATACTGCATTTAAATTTTGTGCAAAATTTTCATAAATATATATTACAATAATTAAATACCTCAGCCTACTTTAGAATTATTACTACTGTACTTGTCATGAATTTACTACAAATTGAGAGAAAAAGAAGGCTCATTTAATGTAGTACATGGTTTAATGTAGTACATGGTTTAATGTAGTACATGGTAACATGCAAGTACAAAAATAAATGAACAAGGAGTGTAGATATGACAACTAAAAACTTATCAATGCAGCAAAGAATTATATAGAATTAGGACTTGCAACTAATGAAATTGATTTTTTATAATTGCCATTGCTATGAAACAATCGCCATGAAGGTATTGTAGGTCAAATTTAAAAACTATTTTGCATGTTGTATAGTTCCCATAATGCTATAATGCTAGCTAGCATAATAGCATTATTCCAGCTTGTTAAGTACTCCTCCAGTAAAAATTGTTTTCACACACACACTTACCTACCATGTAAGTTCTGTCGTTCATTTCAGGATAACTGATAGTTACATAAAAAAAATAAACCATAATTTTAAAAATATAACTTAATACATATTTAGTGTAGTTATCTATCAATATTTATGTTGTAATAAGCTTATAGCAAAATACAAGTAAATACATGAAAGTAAAACTAATGGTGTTAGCAAAAGTACATACAATATGAAAAATTTTAAATACATGGTAGATGAAAGGTAGATACATCATGCAATGTCTGGTTATTAATAACAAAAGTAATGATTGCCAGTAATTGCAATGGTAACTTTATTGCCATCTGTGCTCAGGCAATATCAATGCTATATTATTAATGGTCCTTCGTTGAATGTGATGCCTTAATGAATCTAATGACAAAATACATTTTACAGTCAGAGACATGGGCATGTGAAAATTACTTACTCAGCAACCATTAACACAATCTTTTAATAAATACGGCAATGTCCATAGAACAAACTGTTTCTTGATTATGAGATGTTCATTGTACTAAAAGAGAGAGAAACAGATGATAATTTGACTTGTACCAGTTGTAACTCTAGTTGTACAAGTGCATTCAAAAAATTAAATTGATTATGTTAAAACGTGTGCATCCATTATACCATTAACAGAAAAGGCAACTTCTTTATTTAAATCCTGAGATAGAGAATGCGCTTTTACTTTTACTCTTCCATACTCTATTTGCACAAGTAGGACCTTTAAACAAATTAATTCTAATAAAACAATAATCAATGAACAAATACCATAAGCAGTTTTCACACTTAAAATACAGATCCACCTTTTATCTAGTGCCAGTAACACATTTATAAAAAATTAATGAACAAATAAATCAAGAAATAATGATAACAATAACAGAAGAAGCAATCTATACACTAAGGTCCTTATCAGCATATACACTTTCACTTTTTGTGTAGGAGAAACACTAAACAAAATGATAACGTTAAAATAGTAATAAATTGATATGAACAAGCATATGCCCCACCATCAGAAATGTCAATAAAAGGATCAAGTGTTGGTATACAACTAACTAAAATTTCTTCAATATCGCCCGTAAATTACTTTCACAGAGAGTATGTTCCCTACCAGCATCAGCATACTGCCGGTAAACCTTGTGTCGGGACACACTGGACGGCAATAGCTTGGCCTTCCCATAATCCCTCACTCCAGGTATCCTCCCAGGTAGTAATATGGTGTAGTCTTCAGCATAGTTCTTCAAAAATGCTACCACATCTTTAATGCCTTCCACAGAAACAGCATGACAAGGAATGCGACCAGTGTTCCCATGAACCCTTCAATAAAAATTTTAATTACTCTCCTTTGGATTATTCTTATTATTTTTACCTAGGTTTTATTCCATTTTGAAGGAAATGCCTCCTCAAGTTCTTGTAAGTACCATTTCTGATACTGTATACGAACAAGAAGAGCTTCTTACATATCTATTTTTAAAAGATAAGAAATAACTTATTGTTATAGATATTTTTTGTTCAATACTTTCTTTCCCCTGTATTCATACTCAGTCCTATTCCTCTGAACTGTTTCACAAGATGTTGAAGACTTTTCTCACTCTCTGAATAATAATAACAATAAAAATAATAATAATAATACTAAATAATAATAATAATAATAATAATGATAATAATAATAATATTCCTTCTCACTCTCATAATAATAATAACAATAACAATAATAATAATGATAATAATAATAATAATAATAATGGAACACCAACTATGCTCAGGTATTAGGGTGGATTAGGACTCATCTAACTATCTCAACTTTGAGAGCCACAATCTTATGTCTTAGGGGCACACGTACCAAATGGAGATCAATGAATATGGCTGACAGTTTCCCCCATAGCATTATTATGCACTAAAATGAACAAATTACTATTACATTAATTTTTTTTCCAACACTATTTCTATTCCAAACTACTTTTGTCCTACTTGGTGTATTTTGGTTAGTTTATAATAATAATAATAATAATAATAACAATAATAATAATAATAATAATAATATTCCTTTCTCACTCTCATAATAATAATAACAGCAATAATAGTGTTGTTCTAGTTCTTACTTTTCAAATAGTTCTAGTTTTAGTTCTAGTTCTAAGCCTTTAATTTGCTTAGTCTTAGTTGTAGTTCTGGTTCCAAATTTTTAGTTTGTACAGTTCTAGTTTTAGTTCTAGCTCCAAGCATATACTCTACATAGTTATAGTTCTAGTTCTAGTTCCAAGCTCCTGGTTTCCCTAGTTCTAGTGTAGTTCTAGTTCTAGTTTAGTTCTCTTTCCTTTATTTTGACACTTTTTTCAATGACATAAGCTCTAATCAAGCTAGTTGGCAACATTTTATGTAGTCAATAGCATGTAGTTCTAGCATTAGTTCCATATAAAATAATAGTTGTAGTTCTAGTTCTAGTACCAACATTAATTTACAAATAGTTTTAGTTCTAGTTATAGTTCAAAGAAGAGTTAGCTATTAGTTCTAGTTCTAGTTATAGTTCTATAGCTAGAAAACCGTTAGTTTAGTTATAGTTTTAGTTCTAGGAACTAAAACTAGCTAAAAATAATGAAACTAAATGACTTTTTAGTTCTAGTTCCAAAGAACTAGAACAACACTAAACAATAATAATAATAAAAATATTCCTTTCTCACTCTCATGAAAATAACAATAACAATAATAATAATAACAATAATAATAATAATAATAATAATAATAATAATATTCCTTTCGCACTCTCTTAATAATAATAACAATAATAATGATAATAATAATAATAAATAAAAATAATAATAATAATACAATCATGAGCTGGGTGAGAACTCGAATCACATTTGCCATCATTAGAGCATCAATCCTGTGCCTGAGGGGTTCCCGTACAAAGTGGCGGTCAGTCAACATGATGGACGGTTCGCCTCTATCACTTATAATGTCAACTTAAACAAAATTAACCATAATTAATCTAGCCTATTGTTGTTGTATCTATTCCATCTCTCTCTTTCTTTCATCTTCTGTATTATACATATGTCCTATCTATCCTACACCTAAGTGTTTCTTTTCTTTGTATAATAATAATAATAATAATAATGTGTATTATTTTCAAATATTAATTAGTTGCATTCAAAAAAAAATAATAATAATAATAAAATAATAATAATAATAATATTAATAATATTCCTTTTTCACTCTCATCAAAATATAAACAATAATAATAATAATCATAATAATAATAATAATAATAATAATAAATAAATAAAAATAATAATAATAATAATAATCCTTTCTCCCTCTCATAATAATAATAACAATAATAATAATAATAATAATAATAATAATCATAATAATAATAATAATAATAATAAATAAATAAAAATAATA